CGATTCTCAAGCGGATTACCTTAAACGATTTCTAGATCGATTCTGCACCATTCTGCATCAAAATTCCGAGACAAAATATTTTTTTGATTTTTTGTCCATTTTTCATGATGGGATCCCTTGAAAATGGCGTTTTCCCCTATAGGGTGCACTGTGGTGGCTGTATCTTCCCCAATCCTGATCCGATTCTCAAGCGGAGTACCTTGAACGATTTCTAGATCGATTCTGCACCATTCTGCATCAAAATGCTGAGACAACATATTTTTTTGATTTTTTGTCCATTTTTTATGATGGGATCCCCTGAAAATGGGGTTTTCCCCTATAGGGTGCACTGTGGTGGCTGTATCTTCCCCAATTCACATCCGATTCTCAAGCGGAGTACCTTAAACGATTTCTAAATCGAATCTGCACCATTCTGCATCAAAATCCCGAGACAACATATTTTTTTGATTTTTTGTCCATTTTTCATGAGGGATCCCTTGAAAATGGGGTTTTCCCCTATAGGGTCCACAGTGATAGCTGTATCTTCCCCAATCCTGATCCGATTCTCAAGCGGAGTACCTTGAACGATTTCTAGATCGATTCTGCACCATTCTGCATCAAAATGCTGAGACAAAATATTTTTTTGATTTTTTGTCCATTTTTCATGATGGGATCCCTTGCAAATGGCGTTTTCCCCTATAGGGTGCACTGTGGTGGCTGTATCTTCCCCAATCCTGATCCGATTCTCAAGCGGAGTACCTTGAACGATTTCTAGATCGATTCTGCACCATTCTGCATCAAAATGCTGAGACAAAATATTTTTTTGATTTTTTGTCCATTTTTCATGATGGGATCCCTTGCAAATGGCGTTTTCCCCTATAGGGTGCACTGTGGTGGCTGTATCTTCCCCAATCCTGATCCGATTCTCAAGCGGAGTACCTTGAACGATTTCTAGATCGATTCTGCACCATTCTGCATCAAAATGCTGAGACAAAATATTTTTTAGATTTTTTGTCCATTTTTCATGAGGGATCCCTTGAAAATGGGGTTTTCCCTATATGGCCCACAGTGATGGCTATATCTTCCCCAATTCTTATCCGATTCTCAAGCGGAGTACCTTAAACGATTTCTACATCGATTCTACACCATTCTGCATGAAAAAAAATTGGGATATATGTTATTTTTTGTTTTTATTTCCATTTAAAAATGGCGTTAAAACATTGACGGCTATATGTCAAAATTGATGGGCAAAACCCTGTTCTGCCAGAGCCAGCTGCCTTATCGGGCCAACACGTTTTGTATTTAAACGCTTTGTGGCTACCAACTCGCAGGGGTTCGGAACACGGACCTCGGACCAGGGACCACTCCAAATTCACTCGGATCCTACTGGAAGGAACACCCATTTAACAAGTCAGCCCGTGAAGGCAAAACCATAAATATTGGCAATTTAACAGAGTCAACAGTATGGCACTCGAAGGCACACAACGTTGGCCAAAAGACACAGTGGGTATAATACATCGGAAGGGGGGCTGGAAATGGAGGGGGAGTTTTTGGGGCTGGGAATTCTGGATTGGGGGTCCATAATACACCTTGTCGTACACGATCCTTATCTCTTGGAATTTCTCGTGCGTGTCTGGCGTGCCAAAAAATATAAAAATAAAGCACAAGGAACTAAAGTTAATTGGTATTCAACGAATAGTGGATATACTAAATTGAATTTTTGGAGAAAAAGGTAGTAAAGGAAATAATATATTTCTTAAAGACCTAACTCTATAGAATCATAGTTAAAATAAGATTACAAACATGGTTTCAAAAGCATTTTTAGAAGAATCCTTTTGGTTTAGAATTTTGTCCACCTCTTGGCCTTTGTAATAGCCATGATACCCTTGGCAGAACTTGGGCATGTGATAGCCTGGTCAGGAGCTGTCGCTGTCGGTTGCCGACTTTGGCAACGGGAATGGAATGGAGTGCGCGTGAAAAATTAGCCGTGGAAATGCGTGTTGTGTTTGTTGTTATTGTTATTGCTGTTGTTCGTGTTTTGGTTGTTAATTTTTTTTTATTTTTCTTAAATATACATATATATATATTGTTTCTTTGTGATGCTGTGGCTTGTCGCCATTTTTTTGGTGCCTGGGTACTAATAAGCACAACAAGCTCATAAAATTTCGAAAGCAACTCAGTGTGATTTTATTTCATTTTAAATTGTACACGCGCTTCGATCATTTCCCACTCATAGGTGTGAGATATTTGACTTTATTTTTGTGTCATTTATTTAGCATTTACATGGATCATTAGAGCTTGTTGTACAACGGCGACTTAATGATAAATTAATAACAATGCCAGAACATAAAAGACAAGCTTTCTATTTCACTGATGGCCCCAATGTCCCCGCCATATAGACATTGACAGGGCCTCACACCATAATGACAAAAACAACATTAATAGGAAAATAAAAAAAAACAAGAAAAAGTCAAGAAGAACAACAACAACGATGTCAACAAAGACAAAGAACCAGACTAAGAAGCGTGCCAAAGACTAACTTTGGGTCAACGGCTGCTTAAGTCGTTTAACCCTGTTGTGAGCTCGAAGGTTAAAAAAGGCACACAGGTTAGGTAAGAAAAAGCTCTAAAAATTTAAGTTTTATTATGAAAAATTTTGTTATTTTTTAAGACTAACATCAATGTAACTTTTAAATCGTTTAGAAGAAAAAAGTCGAAGCGATTTAAAAAAAAGCACATACTTTCAAAAAGGAAGTATTTTCAAAAATTACTTTACAAAGCCTTTTATTATTAATTTTCTTAAATTTTAATAAAAAAACTTTCAGGAAATGAATTTTGCTATTTTTAAAACTTCATTCCTATATTATTACACATTTTTAATAAAAACCTTTCTTTCAAACTTCTCAAAAGTCAACCATGGGTTAAACCAAATCTCTGATCTTAACCCATCTGTCCTGCTAATAGATTGTTACATTCTCTTTATACGAGACTGGCCCTGAAGACCTCCCAAGCCCCCGGCCACATCGAAGATGAACCTACACATCCCCCACCTCGGCCAGCTGTGAGGCAGACGTGTTGTTTTTTATGATTGCCCATTTTTGACAATGAATAAAAATTATTATAGTGTCGCACGTTTTGGTGGCTGTAATTTAATTAAACTGATGTCGCGACGACCCGCATCACGGTGTGCTCCATGAGGGTTTTCCCGGAATTTCCCCCCTCATACAGGTGACAAATGTCGGCCAGTTTGGGGAAAGTAACTAATTTATAAAGCCCATCTCGCGAGATTCCCAGCTGGAGGGCGGCTGGCTCTGAAGAAAGGATGCTCAAACAAACCTCTCTCGAAAAGTCAGGACTTTATCCGAATGTTTGAACTGGACGCTGGGCTGGAACGGAAGTGCTGCAAATACAGCTGTTGGCCAAATGGATTTGTTTGGTAAACAAAATCGAAATGAAATCGTTATCGTCCTTCGACAGACAGACAGTGGCAGCGAGAAAGTGGAGTGGGAGATGAGGATGGGTAGCCGGGAAAAACTTGTGCGGCTTCTGGCCGTGAGCCTGTGAACCTGTTTTCATAAAAAAAAAGAAGAACGAAAGAAAAAATGCCGACTGAAACCATGAATGAACTGCAACTTGGACATTGTCACTGTCAATATATAGAAATGCACTCAAGGTAACTTCCTACTTGTCTCGTATCCGATTTCAACCTAACCTCTTTTACACCGACAGATTATTGCGCCCCCGTAGCCCTCCACCCTCTCCCCATTATTGACCATATGCTTCTCGGCTTAACCGTCCAACCTTACCTTATATTTAGCGGTCAGCACAAGAGACACATAAAAGCCAACAACTACATGCAGAAATAGCAAACAAAATGGCGGACATCCAGTGTTGGAAGGGGCCAGAGTAGGGGGCTCACTGATGGACTTCCCCGCCACCTTCAATATTGATTGATTGAACCCGTCTTTGTGTCTCGTGGAGCTACAACTTATGGGTAATTTCTGGAAGACTGTTTTTTGTTTGGCCTTTGTTTATAAAAAATTTGTAATTCAAACATTTATTAATTATTCCAGAAACCCAGGGTAGGGCCTACCTATTTACATTAAATATTATGGATGTATGTTTTAAAAAAAGATAAATGGTTGTAAGGTCTTTAAATATTTTATGCCAATAACTTCTTATTAATAGGAACTTAAAAGACTTGAATAAAGGTGAAAATATATAAATTCAATTTTCTATAATCTTGAAACTCTATTTAAAAAAACCATAAAACTAAAAACAATTTTTTAGTATACCCCCAATAATATTACTAAAATGTTATTCACCAACAACTGCTTAAGATATCCTGTATCCTGAAAAACTCTAGAGAATTGCGTTTTCTTTATAAAAAAACGTTAGTCTTTTTAAAAAAGAATTTACAACCGTCAGTTGCGCAAGAGTTTTTTTTTAAGGACACTATTGTGCGGCCCCCGGGGACCTTAGATTGATGACAGCATTTGTTGTGACAAGCATTAACTAGCGGTTTCACACACTAAATATCCGTCCCCCTGCCCATCCCCCAGGATTCCGAGGCAATTAGCAGCGGAGGAGGAGTGAGGCTTCCCCTCCAGAAAAGCGGAAACAAATTGTTGACACCTAAAACGGAGGGGCTACTCGGGGTGTGTTTTCTGGAACATAGGATGTGTTGTTGGGGAGGGTGTATGGACACCTCTGGTGTATGGGGAAATATTAATACTAATAATTAATTATGTTAAGTAAACACAAATTTTAGTACTAAACGATGGGAGAGACGCTGCTAAGAACAGCTATATAGCTTTACTTCCCACAGGTTTTGGATTTCCCGCGCACCAAAAATTGTCTTCGATGAAACGGAGAACTTATAGGAGCGTTGGTTGCACTCGTTCGAATACGAGTCGCCAACATGTTTACATAAAACGGACTTGGTTTTCCATTTTTTTTTTATAAATATATGTATGAATATATATATTTTGTATTCACAAAATTCTGCTGATTGGCCCGAAAAATGTTGCGCGGAATGTGCCGCTCGACCGGTAACTGGAGAGCACCTCCTAATCCTCCGCATACGGCCTGTAGCTGGCTATCTGCCGGGCCACTATGTTGAGAATCTCGCGGGCGGCCATATCTTGTCGCTCGTCCACAATGGCCGTAATCCGGGCGCACTCCTTAACGTAGTTCTCCAATTCCCGCTGGTTGAGAGCCCTGCGCTGGGGCTCCTTGGACTGCAGGGCCTGCAGACACTGGCCCGTCATATGGGCCAACTGGGAGCGGGCTCCACTGAACGTCTCGTCAAGATCGTACAGCTCCAGCGGCGGAGCAGGCGGTTCACTGAAGATGGGCGGAAATGTGGCCAACTGGAGACTGGGCAGCGGTATCTCAAACTGCGGCTTGATTATCTTCAGGGGCTCGTACTTTACGTGCAACTGCTCGTAGGTGTCCATTACGTCCTTAAGCAGCCGATTACTCAGAGAACATAGATTCATGTCGAACATTTGCTTAAAGTCCGTCGGCATCTCGGAGCCAATGGAGTCGATCAGGCAGGCCTTGGGCATGTCGGCGAGGAAGGCCAGGTCCGTAAAGTTCTTGTTGTCACTGATCTGAGGTTGGAATTCAACATTATCTTAATGAATAATATAAAAGAGGTCCTCTACCCACCTCCACATCATTAAAATCCAAATGAGTATAGCTGATCTCCTCTCCTCCCAGTAGCTTCAGCAAATACTCCAACATGGCATCGTTGGTTTTGTCCTGTAGATACTTATCATGCCAAATATATCCAGAGCCCAAAGCCAGAATCTTGCCGCCTTTTCCATTGGTATAATACCCAGCCAGGGGACGATTGAAAGGATATACCACGGGACCAGTGGTCAGTAGGACATTCGCTGGTTCGGAAACATTCAGAGTAGCCCCGTAGGGATATTGAAAGTGTATCTTGTACTTCTCGTCGCTGAAATCGTAATCCACTTTTTCTATGTCCAGTTTTAGAAGGTGTCTCCACATGGACTCGCACACCACGCCTCCGCCAACGGTACACTCCTTGGGATGAAAATTCTTGTAGTAATGGGGTCGCACCACGTTGTCCCCATTGATGTAGATTCCATACTGCTCCAGGAAGAAGTTAACATTGGTATTGAACTCTGCCTCTCCACCTTCGCCCAGGAGCACCAATAAACTGCCTCCTTGCACCTCTACATAGTGCTTCAGAACCTCAAACTCGTCCTCGGTAAACCGATCCTGGGGACCGGCAAGGACGAAAACTTTCACTTTTGCCAAGCGCTCCTTTCTGAGTTCAGCATCGTTTCTGGAGGATATTTTTAACAAATTTATATTTCTTTAAAGCTTTAAGATTTAAAATTTCAATGAATTAAATACTAATTGTTATTTTTTATGTTTTAAAATAGTACACTTCTAACTTTTACAATCCGAAGCCTTTAATTTTTAAAAAAGTTTAAGAACCAGTAACAAACACTGTAAAGTTGTTCAGTAATACTTATAAGCGTAATATTTCTTTAAAAATAAGTATAAACTAAAGATATTTATATCTTTTTAACAACTTTGGACGTTAAAAAGCAATTTTAATAATTAAAATTTTAAAACTCTGTGATCTTACTGTTCGACACTCCAGTTGACCTTAAGTTTGCGATGTAACATCTTGTAGTTGTCAGATAATTGAAAACGTTCATTTTTAGAAGTATCAAAGCAAATAACCGGCTTATTAGACATTTTTTGTGGCTCTTAAACGTAAATATTTATTTCTTTGTTTTGGCCCAATGAAAATTTTTGGTTGCCGGGCAACTAAAAGCTCCCTCTAGTGGAAACTAGATTAAATGTATAATCCCACTTTCCTACACTTTTAGATATCGATATCGATTTTTCCTTAAAATTAAAATGCTTCTAAAGAAAAACTCACTGTTAATGACTGCAAAATAAAGAAAACTAAGCTATTTCTTACCTATTAACTAAGATTTCCTTTTTATAAACTTTATTTTATCAAAAATCGATTACCTGCATGTGATATCGATGATGACATCGAGGAACTTCCACCTCTAACTCTCGCTGTGTGAAAAATTACGAAAGAATTTTTGGTGTTCACTCTTAAGACCGACCGAAATTTTCGCAAAACGAACAATGGCATCGATCTGTGGACGCATGGCGATTCGTGCCGCCGCACGCCAGAATGTTGCATACACGCCCGTGCGTTTCTGCAAAAGTAAGTGGAGAAATTCAGGTGGAAAACTCCCCGCCAGCTGAGATGCTTTTCCCGTCACGTTCGCCTTTTCCGCACGGGATGGGAGACGATTCGCTGCTGGAATTGCATAATAGCCGAGTGCGTCGATCTCAAATAAGAACCCTACCATGGCTGCTTGCATGGAAAGATGCAGTTTTCGCGAATGGAAAAGTGCGGAGAGTGCGAGGTTATGTAATAACTATGCGCAGGGAAATGTGTCTTGTGCACGGCTGCGAGGCGTGCGGGGGAGCGCTTCGGAGTTCGCACCTACCGGATAGGATCACTCTAAGATTAATGGCTAATGACACTCTCATGACGCATCTACTACTTCTGGGGCGTCTCTGATGTTTATGTAACCAGCTGCTATTTTTTTTTGCTTATTTGCCACTGGCCTTATCAATTTATGAGCTAATATTCACCATTTCTCTTCCTTGCACAGTGATGAACGATCCATTGGAGCACGCCACCGGTATCGAGAAGCGAGAGCTGCTGGCCAAGGCCGCTGGCAACGATAACCCCTTCGACATGAAGGTCTTCAAGCGGGGAGCCGGTACCAAGGAGAACCCCAACCTGATTCCATCGGCCTTTGATGCCCGTATTGTGGGCTGCATCTGTGAGTATACCTGGACAAGATTGGGACAAAAGAATAGCACAAAAGCGGATATTTTAAAGGCTATAATTTTATAAACAATTAAGGAATTTGTAAACAAAACAAGAATGCCTTACTACCACTATTGTGCTATTATTTTATCCAAATTCTTATGAATATATTGATTAAAACTTTAATTTCCTCCACAGGCGAAGAGGATCAGACCTACGTGCAATGGATGTGGCTGCAGAAGGGCAACCAGAAACGCTGCGAGTGCGGACACTGGTTCAAGTTGGTGGAGAAGGCCGCTGTTTAAAGTTATTATTAATTAATTAAATAAACCAATTAATAACAAAAACACAACAACCACTATTAAGCTAAAAGTCATCCAATTTAGCTGCCCAAATAAAACAAACATCAATCCAAAACAAAACGTAACCTAAACCAAGAAAAGATCGGGTGGCCGCAGCTTCAATTTTCGGTATTTCAGTTTCGCCTGTTTATTTTTTCCTAAGGAGAGGAGAGAGATGTTTAATTATACACTTAAGTGAACAATAAAGGCAACCAAGTGATTTCGAGTGAAAGTGGAAAGAGTTCTTTGGGCGAAGAGGCGGCTGAAAGGATAAACGAATCTAATTGGAGAGTCTTATTGGCCATCAAGGGCCTATATGTAGTATAAGGAAAGCTAGTTTAGATTTTAGGTTAAGGTTGCAGTTCCTTTTTTTGAAGTCCTAGTAGCCTTAGTAGTCCCAATATCGTTTCCAAACTTTTCTTTATAAAATCTAACAATCCAAGTAGGCTTTGAAAAAAAAAAACCAGGAAGTGCCCTCGCCCTTCATACCTCAGATTCATTCCAAAACTAGACCTGAAAGGGAACAGTACTTCCCAAAATAATATTTTCATCACAGAAAATCGGAGAAAACAATTCTGAGAAAATGTCGTCGTACATTTCGCGTTGGCTGAAGGCTCCTTCCGCCTCCAAGCGTCTTATCTCGCATTTGACTCAGCGCGAAGGTAAGCTCAGTTCCCTGCTGCGTCGCCTTGGATTGCAGCCGCAGTCGGGTGGCAATGCAGCAGCAGGATCGCGTCCTATCTCCACCACTCAGGTGCAGAAGTCTGGTGAGTTAAAGGTGTTTTGTTTCAAATCTCTACCACGCTAAGGCCAATGATTCCCATCAGTGCTCATTGATGATGATGAGCTGGTGACCGGTATTCAGAAACGGGAGATTCAGCTGGCCAAGCAGGGATGCACTGATCCCTGGGGCATTGGCCGGGTCGTTCGTCGTGGCTCTGGACGCGAGAATGATCCTACTGTAGTGCCATCGGCTTTCGATCACCGTCTGGTGGGCTGCATCTGTCTGGACGACCGCTTCGCCAAGTGGATGTGGATTGAGAAGGATGAGGGGCCGAAGCGCTGCGAGTGCGGCCACTATTTTGTGCTTAAGAATGTTCCCGGAATCTAAAATCCTTCTGATGCATTAACAGAGCGCTGTATACTCGAAACAATTCACACTTTCACACCATCGTTACACACTCGACATACCCAGGGACGAAGGGACATTAAACATGGCATGATATTATCGAAACAAACGCTTACATTTATTAAACCTATTTTAGCGTGTAGCCCGTCAGCAGGTAGCCACTGTTCCCGCTCATGTTCACCTCTGGGTGAGTGCGGTTCGGCAGGATTTGGTATGTGCGCAGCCAATTGGAAGTTAGATGCAGTCCTGTCACCTTTCCGGTTGCCTTCAGCTCCATGTACGTCTCTTGCAGGAGCTCTTTGCATGTGCCGAACACCACCACGGGTCGGGACGGCTTAACGAGGGGCAGCAGCGCTTCAAGAATGTTGGACGGATGCTCCTTGGCGGCCAGTACTAAGCTGTCGAATTTGGCATGCATCAGAGCGGCGGCTTTCTTATTTTCCAACTGCCATCGGAGGGGTCCTTTGGGCCCTGAAATGTGTACCATAATTATGTACCTTCCAACTGAATATGGTCTCTACTTACCATTTTGATTGTCATCTAGCTTGGGCTTCTTGGTGCTAGGTTCAATGTTCTCTGGTTGCTCTTCCGTTGGTGTTTCCGGCTGAGTTTCCTGAGTCTCCACCTCACTGGGTTCCGTCGCAGGTACCTCCGATTCCTTAGATTCTCCTCCCTGATAGAATTCCCTCAGAACGGAGTACAGATTTACGGAAACGCACCTCTGCTGTTGTTCTAGGGGCAGTTTAAGCGCCAAAAGAGCCTGTTTTTGTGGCACATTTCCAGGACGCATGTGCACTAGGGTTCCCTCCGTTCCCGCTCCGATCGAGTTCAACATGGCAGCCGGCAAAAGCCCGTTGGTGCCGCTTTCGTAAAGGAGATAGCTTCCAAAGCCGCAAACGCCCGAGTAGGAAATGATTTGTGAGAGCGTGTCCACTCGGATGCCCATTATCTTCTCGGCATCCTGTCTGTAGAATATGTCGACCAACAAGCGAATGGTAGGCTGGCGGATTTGGACAAACTCAAAGTACTTCTTCTCCTTCTTCCGCAGGTACTTCTCCTGGGAGTACTCTGTGCGGGCATGGAAAGTCTTCGAGTTCTCCACCAGCTTTTCGATGATCTTGCTGGATCCATTGCACTCCTCCCGAAGCTGTTCAATGTCAGAGGGCTTGAGGGCCTGCGCCTCTCCGTCGTCGCAGATATCCCGGTTGTCGGCTCCGCTGCTGGAGATTCCCAGCAGTTCCCGTGTGCTCCGGAGCTCCGTCTCGCTGCACAGTTCAAGGGCGTGCTGGCGCTGGGCCCCCCGTTTACCCGGTTTCGTCTCCTTGACGCACATTTTGAAAGTAGAGCCATAGGGCTGGTCCAGCAGGGATTTCAGCTCGAGGGTTTCCTTTCCCAGCGTGGCCGTGGTGTCCAGGCTGCCGAACTTTTGCAGTTTCGTGTACTTCTGACGCTGGATGACTATGTAGTCGCCCAGCTGTATGCTGGGGGTGGACATGGTGGCGAATCTCTGTTATAATTTTATAAACAACGTGCTTCTCTTGAAAACAACGAAAGGCCGCCGAAGAGATGGCGGAAGCAGTGTTGTCTTTTTAGCTATAATCGAGCTAATTTTTAATTATTATAACCAGAGCTTTTAAAATAGTGAAAATAGGTCTCACTCGTGCTTGTTAATATAACTATATAACTATATACATAACAATATAACTATAATTATATTACTAAATAGAACTATACAAAACTCAACCCATTTTTAAGACCTTTCGGGTTCACTTAAGATCGTTTGCTTTGTAAAAATTAAGCAAGCATTCTTTAAACTTTATACACAAATTGTATATAATAAATTTTCTTTTGTTATTCATTAAAGATTATGAAGCCCTCTGTGCAAAAAATTTAGTTCGTCTTTGCATATGGTATACAGCAGGCTTTCAAAGATGAAGCGTCAATTACGTATAATTAATATTAAATGTTTTCCATTAAATATGATTGCAAATTAAGACCTAAAGTGCATACGTTTTTGTATGTTATGTTTCTTTTATTTAAATAGTCTTTATACCTTAAAAAGAGTCTCTTATTATGCGTACTCTTGGGTTACTATATATAGAGCTAATTAAAATATGGGTATGCTCTTGGTATGGTAGAGCCAAAATAGTTTTAAAATAATTTATAACAACATAGAAAAGGTTACTTAATATATATTATATTTAAATTCTTTTATACTTATGCTTATATTTTGAAATTTGGGTAACTTTTCTAAATTATTTTAAGGGAAAATATTACATAGGTTTTCTTTAGTCTGCTCAAAATATTAAAAAAATAAAGAGCTCTTAAATTGTATATCATTTTATTCCCTACCTTGTTGATGATTAAAATATTAAGAAGATTTCAATTGAAAATATAGCCGTTTTTTTATATGGACATTGGTGTCATCACTGGTGTAGTGATAACCTGTTGCAGGAGAAAATTGCAGTGGCCGGTCACACTGGCCAATACCCGCGTAGTTACATACTACTACCTCTCCGATCGAGTGTGTACAGCTGATAACTCGGCGATAATCCAAGATAACGACTGTACAAGAAACGCGTGCCTTAATGCCTTTTCGATCTGTTCTATAATCACTGCCCGCCCCGTCGGTTCTTCGGCACTGCAGTTGCCCACCAAGTGTGCCAGTACGTAATTCCCGGCCACGTTTTTCTCCTAACCCCCTGGATTGGGGAATTTTCAAGTTTGAAATAGGAGTACCTCGAAACGGGAGACCGAAAATCAAACATCCCGCCCTTCTACCGGCTTGGCGTCCCCCTCCATCGTTCGAACCAACCAGCGAGAATAACTGACCGCGCAAGTTTCTGGTTTACGCCCCAATAACTGCTGCTGCCCGCATAACTTGAACCAGAATCAGAATCAGAAACAGAACCAGAACCAGCACTAGCACCAACAGTAGCAACATAATTATGGCCGAAAGCAAATCGGAGAAGTCGCCGTTTATCGGGAAGCAGGCGGGTCCGGCTCCGGTGACTTTGAATCCCTCATGGGAATCCAAGCTGCCGCCCCTGGAGAGCAAGCCAACCGCGTCCACTGGAATTCTGGGACTACCTATCCCCAAGGACAAGTACAAAATCGTGTTTTTCATCTTTTTGCTGCACGGCTTGGGAACGCTGCTCCCGTGGAACATGTTCATCACGGCCAAGAGCTATTTTGAGGACTTCAAGCTGGGAAACGGTACGGTTTCGGATGTTAACTATAAGACCAATTTCATGCAGAACCTGGGCTTCGCCTCCCAAATCCCCAACGTTCTGTTCAACTGGCTGAACATCTTCGTCAGCTTCGGCGGCGACCTGACCAGCCGCATCGTCTACAGCATCATCGTGGAGCTGATCATTCTGCTGGTGACCATTGTGTTGGCCATGGTGGACTCGTCCGAGTGGCCGGGCGTCTTCTTCTGGTCGACCATGGTGTGCGTGGTGCTGATAAACATCTGCAACGGCATCTACCAGAACACCATCTATGGAATTGCAGCTACCCTTCCGATTAAGTACACCGGAGCCGTTGTCCTGGGATCGAATATTTGCGGATGCTTCACGTCTGTGCTCATCATGGTCTACCAGACGTTTGACTCGAAACGGACCCAGGCCATCTACTACTTTGTCACGGCCATCCTGGTGCTGCTGCTCTGCTTCGACACGTACTTTGCCCTGCCCCTGAACAAGTTTTTCCGCCACTACGAGAGCCTCAGCCACGACAGCGAAAAGAAGACGGAGTCCCGGCAGCAGTTGAACGTTCCCTACTGGCAGATCTTCAAGAAGGCATCGCCGCAGCTGCTGAACATTTACCTAACCTTCTTCGTGACTCTGGGCGTGTTCCCGGCCGTCCAGTCGAATATCCATCGATCGGATCCAGACTTTATCATCGACAGTGACCGCTTTGTACTCGTCACCTGCTTCCTAACCTTCAACGTGTTCGCCATGCTGGGCAGTCTGACCACGTCCTGGGTGCAGTGGCCCAAGCCGAGGTTCCTGTGGCTGCCGGTGGTGCTGCGTCTGGCCTTCCTCCCCCTGTTCATCATGTGCAACTACGTGCCCCCAGACAAGACACGCACCTTGGCCGTGTTCATCGACAACGACTGGATCTTCTGGGGCATGGGTATTCTGATGGCCTACTCCTCCGGCTACCTCAGTTCGCTGGGCATGATGTATGCCCCCCAATCGGTGGCTGCCAAGTACCAAACAACGGCTGGAATGTTCGCCGCCGCCATGCTGATCACGGGCATCTTCTCCGGCATTATGTTCTCGTATCTGCCACCCGTATTGGTCGTTTAGATGTCCATCTTGCCTCTTTGACAAATTCTAACACCCTCATGCATTTTTTTCATCCACTAAAACCGACACCCAGATTAATTATAGTTTTTAGGCCATTGGCCAGTTGGTTTCGATCTAACCAATCATTATTTTATAGCACGTTTCATTGAATAAAGTTTTTAAAGTTTATTTTAATATAAAAATTAGATGCATTTAAAATTAAACATAACATGATACAAATTAAATAACAAAAATGCTTATTAACCATTGCGCCGGTGAAAGATCAAAGAACTCTTGGCAATTGGGTCCTAATTGGTGAACATATGAATCAATTAGGCTGGGGTCCGACAGGTCAGAGAAATATTTGGTTTACTATATCACAGCCTCATCCGGTGAAGAATCAAATCATAATGTTTACACAGAACTGGCACAAATATCCACGCAAAAGATATACAAACATAGAAATTAGAGCAACTGAGAAACAGAACAATGAAGGCCACTAAAGTGTGGGTATATGACTTATCAATAGATTATATAAGGCCATAAAAACATAATACCTAATCTGTATTTAGTTATACTAACGTACTTCATAAATTGTATTTATTTTGTTGCCGTGGAGACATCTAGAAGGGACAAGGGACCACATAACACCCGGAAAATATTGCATTCACTTGTCAAAAATAAAATACATTTCAAATGAATGTGTAAATTATACTAATGCCTAGATTTTTGTAGTTTTTTGTCAAAAAATGAAAACAATTAAGCTCGAAGCAGTCATGGGAAAGATTCAAGTGGTCATTTAGGATTTTTATAGTTGGTTGTATAACTCCAAGAGTAGATTAGGATATGGTTTTTAAGGGCTTCAGATTGGACCTAGGGGATAATACTCAAAACTTGCATACCTTTCCATTAGAGTGCAATAAACTCAAGATCTTGAAGGCAAATACCCTCCCGAAGAGTATAAATAAATATTTCTTTTAAGAGCAGAGCTATTTTCTCTCACGGGTCTAATAGTTTCAACTGGCGCCGCCTGAATCTTGTTTGTAAACAAAAACTATACCCCCGAAAACTTTCAGCCTTATCAGCAAAGACACATAATTACCCCAAATGAGAAGCAGATAAACATATCAGTTCCACCAGTTCCTCAATAAGGTGACATCAAGTAGAGCTATTTTCGATGTTCACAGGCCAACGTGTGTGGGCCAATCTCAAGCTAGTTTCTTATCGCCGTCCTGCGGCTTCTCTAGGAAATACATAATCTTTAGCAGCTCATTGAACTTTGGCGCATCTCGGGGCTGGCGTTTCTCAAGGCCTGCGATCTGTTCCAGAGCCACCTCGACATCAACGACATTGCACAGAATGGACTGAATTCGTTTGGGAAACCTGCCACCTGAGCCGTTCGCCCTTTGTCGTGTCGTCTCCAGCATGTTCATTTGTTCTTGGGGGCTTATTTTCGTGTAGCTGACCACCAGTGTGGTCAACTGAGGCAGGCGGTCTGCGAGCGGAAAGCCATAGTCTTGGGCATCGGACAGTCCGAGACGTTCCAGTCGCTGGCTGCCCCTCGCCTTCAACAGCGTTTCTTCTACTGGATGCCGGTTTGCAGTAAGGTCCAAGTGCTTAAGAGAGAGCCGCTCCAGAATGTCCGCTAGGAGATCCAGCTCCACGGAGCACTCACGGGCCACTAGGGTCTCAAGGTGGACCAAGTTCACCACATACTTTCCAGTTATGTAGGCACTGGAGACACTTAGGCTACGGAGCTGCGGGCAGTTCTTTGATATTGTGTTGATCATGCTATTATTCATACTGTCATCCGCGATACACAGCTCCTTCAAGTTGGAGAAGTCTCGCCGGAGGTAGAAGCTCAGTTCGGGGCGCATAAGGTGGCGACCCAGGTACGAATCGAAGGCCTTTTTGTGGACATTCCATATGTACAGCTCCTCCATTGCCGAGCTGATCAGTTCGAAGAAATAGATGTAATCCTCTTTGCTGAGGGGCTCCAGCATGGTATCGGACACGGAAACCTTCCGGTAGCGAGGTTTCCGCCAAACCATCAGCTGGAGGAGGTCTTGGAACCGTGGCGCCAGGCGGGCCATCTTGATCTGCTCCGTCAGTGGCAGAAACTCTAGGATGTGGCACACACAATCGTCATTTAATTTCTCCATGGGATATATTTTAGTAAAATATTGCCGAAACTGTTGAAATAATAACAATAATAACAATATATCGATATTGTTTGTGTATATCGGAAAGAGGATTTGTTTTCGATATTTTATGATATTTTAAATGAAAATATTTTGACAAACTTATGAATCTGCTGTGAAGAATTCGAATTCGTAACTAGTAAACGGTTTAAGGTTTCAATTATTGGAGTTTTTATTTATAAATTTTCGATTATGTTTTGAAGTTCTTCAAGGTTTGTGTCTTTGCTGTGGGTCGTGCACAAAAAAATATTCTCGATAACATTATTTAGAGCTGTCGTTCACAGCGGTATTTTATGGCGCCTAACTTAAAAATTGTATTATTCTTTCAATATTTAGTAAAATTTAAAAAGTTTACGGTAATTGAAACTTTTTAAATGTTTTCTAAATGTTATTTCAATAGCTCTCATTTAAAAAAAAAATCAGGATACTTATTGTATTATTATTATTAAATTTAAAATATAAAATAAACGTTGAAAATAGTTATGGTTTCTTGCTGAATAATAACAACAAAAATATTTTTTGTTACTATTTTGAATAGTAAATTTAAATACTATTTTATTTATAAACATCAAAGTCCAAAAGTCTGAAAGTTTCTCGTTGGCACCCGAAAGCGGTGCTGGGAGTCGCATGCCCCGTGGCCCACAGACGCCTTGCAGACGTATCAATTAACATTTTGAGTGGGTTTTCATGTTGGACTGTCACTTTTGAACGTATCATGCGGCATCCTCTGGTACGCCTCCGACCAAAATCGAATGCCACCACCTCCCGGCAAAATTCCAATTTCCCCCCCGCTTGATCGGGGAACGGGCCACACATGATTTGTGCGTGACCATGCGAAATGTAAATTATTTATGTATTGTGCGTCCGTTTATAAGGCATTATCCTGCAACAGTGCTGAGTTTTCGTTGGCTCCCCGAACGAGGGGCTGGCAGTGCTGGAATCGGAGAGAGTCGTCGTCTCGGCTTCACAATAGCTCGTCGCAAAAATAGCCCAACAGTTGGAGGAACCCTTGTCAGGACATTGGACAGCAATCACTTCCCTCTCTTTCTTTCAAGCGAACGGTCGTGTTTTTTTGTGCGCACTGCGTTTTTGATAAATATTGGTAAACCGGTGTTTACATACTTTGTGAATTAATCTTGTGAATCATAACAATCTCAAAGCCTAAACCGTATCGCTTCGCGAGTGCTTTGGTATATTTGGAATCGAATTAATAATTTGTCTAAATTCTATTCCAAGCATAGCTCAGCTCTGCTTCTTCCCCGGCTTATCTATATTTTCTGCATTTCTCTTGTGCACTCTTTCAAAGCTCCCGCTTCGGCTTCTTGTTTGGCACAGTGGTTCAAGGTATTGTGTTTTTTAACTTTTTAAATATTAATTTTTGTCTTATTAAATTAAAAAAAAATAATAATAATAAACAAAATGGAATTTAAACTGGTCTGTGCCATTAAGTCTTGCAACAAGACGATTTCCACATCCCAGCCTAGTATCCATTGCTGGTTATGTGAAAACGTCGTGCACGCCAAGTGTGCCGGTTTCACTGCATCAGTTTCGGATGCCATTTCCCGTAGGTCTGGGATACATTATTGTTGCGAAAATTGTCGTGCTGTGCAAGGCGAAATGAGGTCGTTCATGAGACAGACCAAAAATGGATTTAAAGAGCTGATCACTGGTTTTCGTAAAATCAATGACCAGCTCTGTGCGCTTGACACTCAATTTAGTGGCCTTCAGCTGCTAAATGAGTCCCCTAAGCGTAAGAAATCCGCTGTTTCTGATCCGCCTCAGCCAGCTCAGCCGACATTAATGCAGCCGCTCATAACTCTGGCCACCCCAAGGGCCTTAACTGAGAAAAATTCGTCAGAATTTCTCAGGGATAATGAGCAATTGTCCGATATGTCCGCCATGGCATCCCTTCAAGTGATGCCACAGGTCCTAGGGAACGAAACCCCCATTAGGGTCACCCAAAAGGGTATTCCACAGTCCGGACCACCGGCACCGACTGATGCTGCAGTTCTTGTACCTGCGACACCAAAACCCTTACAGGTGATTCCTCCATCGAAACATATATTTGTTTCTCGGCTTGCCCCTGATACTTCAGAGATTGATATCTCGGCTTATATCAAAGCCAAAACTAAAGCCGATATAAAGGTGGAGGACATACAAAAATTTAAATACAATTATACAAGGCGCACGTCTTCTTTCAAGATTCGTGTGCCCGCGCTGATGTTCAAGACGATTTGTTCTCCCAGTTTTTGGCCAGAGAATCTTTTCGTCCAAGAACATCAGCCTAGTTCCGTTAAAAAAAAAGTTAATAAACCAGTGGGAGTGAGACTTCCCAATATCGGAACCACTGACCAACCCTCCACCTCTTCTTTGGCCTCTAACCCAAAAAACTAATTTCCTCACTAACTCTTACCTATCAGAATACTAGGGGCTACGTAGCAAACTCCCCAAGCTATATTCTGATAGTTCTTTCTTTGTATCCCATATAATAGCATTTACAGAAACTTGGTTAAATCCGAGATCTTTAGCTCCGAAGTTTTTCCAAGTAAGTACACCACTTTTAGACGGGATCGATCTCAGCGAAGAGGAGGTGGAGTCCTCATTTCGGTAGACTCTACTTTTGCTTCTGAAGAGGTGAAATCCCAAGAGTTTGGTGACATAGAATTTATTTGCGTTAAAATCACTATGTCCGTGAAAGCTTTATACATTACATGTTCATATATACCTCCTATGTCTGAACCGCCCACATATTGGCAGCATTTGTCCGCTATTCGATACGTCTCTAATCTTATGACGGATCGTGACCAACTCGTAGCGGTGGGCGACTTTAATATCCCAGAATTAAAGTGGTCCAACGTCGATAACTCACCATCTTTGTCACTTATAACTTACCATGACTTCACCGCGGGCATGTTTGACATGTCCCTAGGTCAGATCAATCATGTCAGAAATTCGCTAGGTCGGCTCTTAGACTTATGTTTTGTATCTGATCCAGATGGTACCGCTCTCTCCAGAGCTTTTCCCCTTTCAGCCCCAGAGGATCCATATCACCCCACGCTGGAGGTCTCAATCGAAACCACTCCTGGTATCGATCAGATGTCTCCGAGCGTGGTAAATAAGATTCGCTGTTTCCGTAAAGCTGATTTTCAAAAACTTAATAGCCTTATCGATACATTTGACTGGTCTGATATTCTGGCGTGCACTGATCTTAATGTCACTTTAGAAAAATTTTATTTTACTTTAAATACATTTTTTGACTCATGTGTGCCTTGGAAACATCCGTCCGCTTCAACAAATCCTCCTTGGTATACAAGGTCCCTCACTAACCTAAAAAATAAAAAAAATAAGCTTTTACTTAAATATAAAAAAACCTGCAGTAGTGTTGATTTCTCAAGATACCTACTAGCTCGGTCGAATTTTACCGTGCATAACGCTGAATGTTATAGGAATTATATTGACCGCTGCCGGATTCAATTTACTCAGGATCCAAAGCAGTTTTATAATTTTGTAAACACTAAGCGTAAACACGTATCTTTTTCACCTCTGCTTATGTTTGAAAATTCCTCTGCGACTTCGGATCAGGCCATTGCCGATCTATTCGCAGAATTTTTTCAAACAACTTATTCTCCTCCTAAATTGACTGATCAGCCTTATGCATATAACATTCAAGCAGCAAATCTTATTTTCTGTCCGTCTTTTCTGAGAGCAACTTATTATCTGGTCTTTTAAGGGTAAAACCCATTTATTCGCCAGGCCCCGACGGAGTACCAGGCTGTGTGCTAAAATACTGCGCCAGGGCTCTGTGCAAACCTCTTCTAAGACTTTTCAACTTATCTTTGGAAACCTCGATTTTTCCCCTTAAGTGGAAGGAATCATTTATAATTCCCCTACATAAAAAGGGGAAAAGTCCGAGGCTGCCAACTACAGAGGCATCTCTAAGTTGTCGGCAATTCCAAAGTTATTTGAAAAATTAATTACCCCTCATTTGCAACACCTTTGCTCTTCGATCATCACTCCTTGTCAGCATGGCTTTATTAAGCGTCGCTCCACCACCACAAACTTATTGGAGTTGACATCCTTTGTCATAGACGGCTTTTGTAAGGGATATCAAACCGATGTAATTTACACAGACTTCAGCAAAGCATTTGATTCAGTTAATCACTCACTTTTGTTGAGTAAACTGAATATGCTGGGTTTTCCTAAAGACCTCTTAACGTGGATCTCCAGCTACCTAGATGGAAGGACACAAAGAGTCTTATTTAAAAACATACAGTCCCGTCTGGTCCGTGCTACATCCGGCGTCCCTCAAGGAAGTCATCTTGGCCCGTTATTATTTACGCTTTTTATAAACGACTTGCCCCCTGCTTTAACGAACTCTCTAGTTCTTATGTATGCAGATGATGTAAAGCTTTGTCTTCAGTATAAATCCATCTCTGCCCAATGCAGTCTTCAGTCTGACCTTGATAACTTTCAAAAATGGTGTTTGGCTAATGATTTAATACTTAATGGATCAAAATGCAAGCATATGTCTTTTTATCGTTCTTGCCCTCTGCAAGCTACGTATTCCATTAATGGGATTGCCTTAGAAAAATTAACCCAGGTTAATGATCTCGGCATCCTATTAGACATAAAACTTAAATTTGCCGACCATATTTCCTTAATGGTTAATAAGGCTAAAGGAGTCCTTGGTTTTATTAAAAGGTGGTCAAAAGAATTTAATGACCCCTATATAACCAAAACTTTATTCATTTCTTTGGTCCGTCCGATACTAGAGTACGGTTCATGTGTCTGGAGTCCCCAATATGGAGTACATAAGGACCGCATAGAATCCGTACAAAAGAACTTTTTAATATTTGCACTTAGAGGTCTATACTGGGATGCAAATCTTCAGCTTCCATCCTACAGTAGCAGACTTTTACTTATTAACTTACCTAGCTTAACAAATCGTAGGACAATGCTCGGTGTAGTTTTTCTGCAAAACCTTATCAACGGGGATGTAGA